GGACTGGTGAGTGTCTCTTTTGATTTACGGATAGGTTGGGTAAGAGAGGCGGCTTTAAAAGTTCCAACCGCGTAGACGCCCTAGGAGAGTAAGATCGGGTGGCAGTCCCATGAACTCCCTTTAATCAGTTTGGTTCTGAGGCCGAGCGGCAGTCGCTGTCCATTGTTTAATAGATGGGGAGTAACCAGTCCAGGATTCTGACCTGCAGTCCCCTGGGATGCAGTTTGAAAAATTGGTCAAAGTTTGGAGGCGACCCAATGACGAAAAAGAGATTGCAATATCGAATCATTAAATGGTGGCCACAGTACAAACTCGAGGATGGTGTGATCTGGCCGGAGAATGGGTCTTTAGATTATAACACTGTTTTGCAATTGCAATTGTTTTGTCAGCGCCAGGGTAAATGGGATGAAATGCTTTATGTGGATGCATATATGTCTTTGTATGGAGATAGGACTACTCAGAGGTCCTGTGGCAGATCTAGGAGGAGTGGGGTAATGGCTTTGCGAAAAATTGAGGCCGCGGGTCCGGAGGAGGATACACACCTGCTGGTTGCTCCCACGGCTCCCCCCGCTACCTTCTGTGCCCCATGCGTCGCCACAGGGGGCTTCCACAGCACCCGCAATTGCTGGTCATGGGTTCTCGACCAGCTCACCTAGCTCGTCGTCTACCACTACCCCCAGTAGCCCTGGGGTGCCGTCCCCGGGTTTGGCAGATGCAGGCAGAAGCGATTTGGCGGTAGGAGGGGCTATGGGCAGTGAGACATTCAGTCCAATAGCAGACCACTTAAGATCCGCCAAACCAGTAATTCAGGCTCCTTTGCGTCAGGCAGTGGGCCCCGAGGGTAGGCCCGTTTTTGTTCACATGCCGTTCAGCAAGGCTGACCTGATCAACTGGAAACGGTCAACCGGCCCGTACCGCCAGAACCCCGAGGCAATGGTGCAGCTGTTTACCACCATTTTTCTTACCCACCAGCCAAATTGGCAGGACATTCAGGCTTTACTAGCCGCCCTTCTAACTCCGGAAGAAAAGAGGTTGGTTTTAGAAAAGGCGCGTGCGGTGGCTCAACAGCGCCACCCGAACGGTGTTGTAGATGAACTCTGCCCTAAGACAAATCCAGGTTGGGACCCCAATGCCCAAGGGGAACTGCGGAGCCTGGAACTGTATCAAAAACTGGTGTTTGGCAGCCCTTTGGGAGGCCATTCCTAAGCAGAAAAATTTGTCTAAATTGTATGAGGAGAGGCAGGGTCCAGAGGAAGACCCGTCTAGCTTCTATGGGAGGTTGTGTGAGGCGGTGAAGCAGTGGACAGATTTGGATCCGGAACTGCCGGAAAATGCCATGTTTAATACGCTGTTTATAGGACAGTTGGCCACACTTACT